TCTCTCCACCCACCTGCCCACGCAGGGCATTCATTTCCTGGCAGAAAAAAAGACACAATACACATCACAGTGAAATCAGTATATTTCCATCATGACAAATTTCTTATTTGCACCCAGGACATGAACCCCACAGACCTTCTCCTGGAGTTTCTGTCAGAAGGGACTGTTTCCCTCCCCCTTACCCACTTGAGTGTCTCCTGACAGCCCTAATTGCAGAGACACTCCTGTGCATTTGACCTGGCCACTTTCCATTGTGCACAAGGTACATTTTTTAGGTCCCAGTTTGAGCCTATCTCTGTGCTCACCTCCTCATGGTTCTTCTTGAGGTAGGCCAGCTCCTCCTTGAGGTTCTCGATCTGCATCTCCAGGTCAGCTCTGGCCAAGGTCAGCTCATCCAGGACTCTGCGCAGGCCGTTGATGTCAGCCTCCACGCTCAGGCGCAGCGCCTGCTCCGTCTCAAACCTGGGAACACACACACACAGTTGCACTGGGGAGCCCAGTGGACAGTTTTTTTCTACTTGTTTCCTTCCCCTCCTTGGCGTATTTTTGCCAAGCATCTTTTATGAAATGTGCATGCACAGCTCTCCACAGTGCAGGAATGTCCAGACAATGCTGTGTCCAGGAAGAGAGGTACACTTCCCAAATGTCACACTTTTAGTGAGCAGTGACCTGGTGGAGCAACTTCAGTTGCAGAAAGCAAAGCAAAGCCTTAAACAGACTGGCTTTTCCCTCCCTTTTCATAAGAACTCTTGAAGGCATTAGACTTACTTGGTTCTGAAGTCATCAGCTGCCAGCCTGGCATTGTCAATCTGTAAGACGATGTTGGCATTTTCAACAGTTGCAGCAAGAATCTGGGGGGGGGAGATAAAAGAAAGTGAAAGAGTGAAAAAGTAGTTTCAAAAAATGGCATGCTGCTGCCTGAGTTCCCATTCAGAAGGAGGACTGGAGCAGTGCTGAACCTCCTGCCTGTTGGGCTGGACTTCCACGTGGACTCTGCAGAGACAGACAGGATACTCATGCTCGATCTCTCATTGGCACTGATTCGGTCTTGTGAAGACGCCGGCATGCACACATGCCACAGCCTGTTGCCCCTGCCAGAGTGGCATCTCCAGGCGCTCACACCATGCTCAGAGTCCTGGCAGCACTCTGGGCTTTGCCTGGCAATGCTGAACAGCCCAGCTGAGAAAGAAAAAAATGGTTGAGGAAGGAATGCCTTGTGCCTGAATCGTTTTGCTTTCATAATTACACCTGAGGTGCAAATATTTCTTCTGGGATTTTGAAAATGATTGGCCATTTAATGAGCAGTAATTTCTGTAGCCACAAGCTAATGAAAAGTTCTCACTGAGTTCTGATGCTTCAGGGGATATCCAAGCAGTAAACCAGGAATATTGATGTGGTAATTTTCCAGCTGCGGTGCGGGAGGGGAGGGAAGGGTCTGCCTCCCTCTGGATCACGAGCAGAGGGTTTCTTTGAGACCCAGCACTTCATTGCTCAAATCTGGAGACAGCTCCTGCCTCCACATGTTTCTGTGCTCCAGATCAGAGCACACCTGACAAGCTGGAATTTGAAGAGAAGCTTTGTGTATCAAGGCAAGAGCCTTTCACCCCAAGGTGAAGCCCCAGAGAAGGGTTAAAGAACTGAAAAATTCCAGGTATGTGACTTCCCCCAGGGGCTGACTGCTCAGTCTGTCAGCAGCTGCCCCATTTCCCTGGCTTTTAGTCTCCCAGACCAGGTATTGTCATTGCCCAACCACCCACACCTCCATCCCCTCCAGTGGAGCCTGAGCTGACTAAGGTTGCTGTCACCTCCCGTAGGCAGTGATTAAGGACCAGGCAATCATCTCATCATGAGTAATGTGGGCAGAGGGAGGACAAGGATGGCAGGGTAGGAGAGGAAGGACAGATTCTGGTGCTTTTGTTCAAGGACCTTTTCCTAAAATCAGCCAGGGAGCTGCTAAGAATAAAGAAACAAGCTTGGCCATGATTTCATCTACTGCATTTTAGAGCAGGTGACACACCTGACCAGCACCTCTGAAGCCACCTACCACAACCCAGTATATTCTGACTCCTGGATTTTTATTTGTGTCTGTGTTTGCACCTCCCAAAGAACAAGCATCCCATAGGGCAGTTTCTTTTTTTAACCTCTACCTTGAGCTTCCTATCAGGCTAGAAAAGATCTGATTTGTAGGATATTTATGAGAATGACTTAGCATCTCCATTTGCATATCGTTCAGTAGTGGCCGTGCCAAAGAGATAACTTGTCCCTGCCTGCAGAGTGCTTAATCAGGAGCCTGGAAAAGGGAGCACATACTTGGGGTGTTAAGTAGCATCGAGGAAAGGCAGGCGATAACTGGCATTGCAGCCCGCACCCTGTAGCATCAGGTAACCTGCAGCAATGGCTGATAGCCTCTGACTCTTGCTTTCCTGCCCCGTCTTTCTCCTTATATTGAAACAGTCAATAGAAAACCCATCTTTGTGCCTTGTGCAGGACATGATCAAGAAACTGTGGTTCATAAATTACGACTATTTTCCAAACATGCTCTTTCTGTTTTCCTGTCTCAGAACAATTACCTGTCATTTGTTAATACTCTTCACCTCAGCTTTTAGGAACAAGGTCATCTTTTTAAAAGTGACTTTAATGAAGATGTCTTGGTAATCACAGCATCCTACCTTGTTCCTGAGCTCCTCGATAGTCTTGTAGTAGGGGCTGTAGTCACGGTCTGGACCAGGTCCCTGCTTCTTGTACCATTCCCGGATCTTGACCTCCAGGTCAGTGTTGGCCTCCTCCAGGGCACGCACTTTGTCCAGGTAGGCAGCCAGGCGGTCGTTGAGGTTCTGCATCGTCTCCTTTTCTCCAGCCGGGAGGATGCCATCGCCACCTCCAAAGCCACCTCCAAAGCCACTTCCAAAGCCACCTCCAAAGCCAGCCCCATAGCTACCCCCAAAGCCAGCCCCATAGCTACCCCCAAAGCCACCGCCGAGGCCCCCTCCTACGCTGCTGCAGTAGCTGCCCCCATAGCCACTTCCGAGCCCCGAGACAATGCGGGAAGAGACAGAGTAGCTGCTAGAGCCCCCGTGGACGCTGGGGGCTCTGTACCCTGCTCCCCCAACACGCACGGAGGAAAGCCTGCTGGAGCCTCCACCCAGGCCACCGAATCCCTTGAGGGAGGTGGAGGAGGAGTATTGCCTGACAGTGGTGCTCATGGCGAAGGCTGGCGGAGGCTGGAGGGCTGGAGAGAGACACTGGGCTCGGCAGCGCAGACAGCGAGTGCTCGCTTCCCCCTGGCCTGGAGCCCTTTATAGCCCGGGCAGGAGGCGTTGCCAGCGCTTTTTTTTCTGTTGCATTCCCGATGATTTTCATCACTCCTAAAGTCTGAGCCAAATTCCAGAATCATCATTGTTGCCTTTGTTCTATTCATGCTTTTTGTCATTTTCCACTAGAAACTTCTTATCTCACAAAGGGCGTTTTTATGCTTCTTCCGTTTACAAGGAAATGGTCAGGTGTGATTCAAAGTAGGAGGCTCCTTGCTCAGGGCTACATTTTAATACTGCTTTGTACTGTTAGCTCTGAAACTGAGCTATTCAGACAGCATTTTGATCGAGTAAGTCAGCATCTCTTTTGCTGTGTCTTTTTGTCCCAGCTACTACAGGCTCCTGTCTCTACTTACATTACATTGTACACACAGCACACCTGCAGGGACAACAACCATGTCGTGAAGCCCTGAATGTACATCGACAGTCCCGTGAGTACAACGGTGCTAGAAGGAACTTGGCTACCAATCCTAGAAATACAAGTCCTCTCTTTTATCCACAGAGAGGGATGTTCTGTAATGAAAAAGCAATGAAAAGGGAGTTCATGCTTCAGGGCTCATTCAATTCTTCACTTCGCTTCAGAGACCGCCCAAGAGTGGAGGAATATGAAAAGGCAATAAGCAGTGGATGTTTTGTGTTGTTCTTTGTGAACGAGAGCCTAGAAAACCGTTCAGAAAGGGCAGGGTACTGTCAGTACTAGCTGACATAACTTAAAAATTATGAGATGCTCCAGGAAAAAATGTGGAATAGCATAAAGTAGATGAAGGATGTAAGCAAAAAAGCTCCTGGTCTCTAAGCACCGTGAACAAGAGCGCAAAGTTGACAGTAACATAGCTTAGCAGCTAATGCTAATGATGTTTTCTGTGATTAACATCTCAATCAGTTGTGACCAGGGAGCACAACTTCAGTGTGAGTTCGGAATTTACAGCTCCCATGTAAACAGAGCTTCAGGCGAGATATCGGTTGCCTCTGAAAAGCAAAAAAGCTTGAAAACTGAGTCCACCAGGCACGGTCAGGCTCCGCTGTCTGTTGTCCATGCTGACCTGCGTCATGGGCAGAAACCACAAATCTGAGTGTCACTAGCTAATAATGCAGGGTGTGGAGGAGAAGATATTTCTCATGTGTGTGCATGGTGAATTGTTTGACTGTCTTCGCAGACAGGCCCCAACAACCCCTTCCCAACAGTCAAGTTCTTCCTTAGATCATTTGCCAAAGGAGGGGTGAAAGAGTATGGAAATAAACAACAAAGGTACATTACATGCTTTCAGGGGCATGAATCCCTCCCCTCTATCTGAAGAAAGCTGGAAACGATACAGGAGTGGGACGTGTCCTTGGAATATCAAGGGTTGGCTGCTACAGAGAAGCACAGCTAGCGATGTTCCCATTTGCCACTGGTAAATGGAGACAAGTCTGTACGACTTGGAGAACTGGAGAACGGGAACCTCCACCCTGTTTGCTCTGGCTGGAGAACGGGTTCAGTCTGTCGGCGGCAGCATCTTCTTGTCGCGTGAGCGCCAGGAGACGGGGCACGGGGCCAGCGGACGCCCACTTTCTGCTCACCTTCCCCAGGTGTGGATGGCAAAGGCGCAGCAGCGTGGGGGCGGCTGGGACGTGTAGCTCCATGGAATGTTCTTTCAACCCATCTTCATTTCCTCACCTTCAGCCAGGTGATACAAAAGGGCAGAACTCGGGGGTTGTCCCCGCTGAGTGCAGCGGTGGCACAAAGAAAGGGGAACGTCAGTGACAAAACCGGTGCAGAGCCCCCGTGCAAGTCCAGACCCTCAGCCTTGACACGAGCAAAGCCTTTCAGACCAGTCAGCCAGCTGCAATAACCAGCTTCCCGCAGACAGGCTGTAGGATGAGCAACTGTCGCAACGTTACAAGGTTAACAGGATATTCTTTCTTTACATAAAATTGCCTCTTCTTTCATCTTTTGTTTCCTATTTAACTGCCGTGTCATAAAAATACACATTGCTCAAAATGTCTATGATATTTTGATGATACCACAAGGCAGCAATTAAAATCATGAGGTGTTAATTAAGACTTAAAACAACATATTAAAAATTCTAAGACATTATTTGCATGACCTCCCATTGAACACAACCACAAATGACTGCATGTTGTTTGTATCGCACTCTCTTTTAAATAAAAGGCTGACTATTAAATCAGATTCTGCCTCTGTTTCATGAGTGTGTGCACACTATAAGCCTATTTTTTATACGTTTCAAAATCAGAATGCCAGTTCTACAGCATAACAGTAATTTTATGGTAGCACATTGGTGTTTAAACATGCAATTCTGTCTTACTTCAGGAGGAAAATGGAGACAAAGTTCTGGCTCCAAACATACATATCAGCAGACCTGGCAGATGAAAACTACCTATACAAGAGCACTTCTCTGTTTATTTTAGTGCACTTACAAAGTTTGCCCTAATATCAAATTACCATAGGAAAGTTCCCTAAAATGAGCTGAAAAGCCACACCTTAATGTCTCTTTCTAAAGTGGTCTTTTATGTCAGATTAACTCAGTGTAGCCTGAGAAGTCAAACCGTCTTTCTGGAATAAAATACCACTTTCGGAAACCTGCCTCAAGCTGCCGCTGCCTGTCTGCATAAGCCACCACCTGCAGCTCCTTCCTCAACGGGTTTCTTAAGGTCAGGACTAATTATTAATGCTTAAGGCAGGAGAGAATCAACATCTGTTTTCCACACCTCCCTCACAATTTGCAGTAGCAGGAGTAATTAAAACAGGGGATTTTGTTAGCGAAGTATTACTTGTTGTTTCTATAGCAATGTGGGGGTGCCCAGACTTTTCCAGGAGAAAAATACAAAGCAAGGGTGAATTCCAGCGAGGCACCTTCAGCATCCCCGCGCTGGGTGTCGCAAGGGTGGCAGCCGGAAAGGCACGACCACCGCGGGTTCCTCGGAGGAGCTGCAAGAGGCGCTGATGGTCCCTGCACCATCCATGGGGAGAACAGGGGGTCCCTAAGAGGTGACCTGGGAAGCCCTAGGTGTTAACAGCCAGCTGAGTCTGTCCCTACCCTTCTTAGGCATCTGAGGTCGCGCTGCGCAACGCCTGCCCTCATCCAGCCCCGGGGCATGGAGCACCCCTCGGGGGACACCCCTCAGGCTCCTTCCAGGGTGCGGGAGCAGAGAGGGCGCAGTCTGCAGGACTGCAGAGATGCTGCAGCTGGAAGAGCCTTGGGTCAGGAATCGTGCCCTGTTATTTGCTTGTGGCCCATCCACGATGCACCACGAGGGCGTGCAGTGACAGAGCAGTGGGAACCGTTCTGACCACAGCGCTCCTTTATTGGGTTGTGTTTATGAGTCCTTTGGTGGAATCTGAGTGGAAATGAGATCACTGTTCATCAGCGGTAAGCTTCAAAACCAAAGTTATGTCTACCACAAGTCAGTGGATGCTGGGAGTACTTTAAGCCAGCTCGTGCAGGGCTGCTGCGCTCGCGGCTGCGGCACGGGGTGCATGGGGCAGCTGATGCCCTGCACGTGTCGCAGAGGATCCGCTCTGCGTGGGCAGGGTGGGGACAGCCCCAGCCGACAGCGGGCAGAGCTGCATGGCTGCAGCACAGGGTGCCTCAAGACTGTGCATCCCTGCCCCTGCTACCTCGGCTTGTGGTGTAGGTGATGCACTGTCGGGATCCTTTCGACGTTTTGAAAACAAACTGAATTCTCACTTATCTCCCCATAAAATCCAGGCAGATTTTCTGGAAAGGGGTCCTAAAACTGTGTGGCCAGTTTTATTCTTACACATATTCAGTAGCGTTTCTCTGAATCATCCCATTGATTTCAAGGTTGGATGTATGAAGTAATAAATGTGGCAGAATCCAGCCAAGAATGTGTCTGAACGGGCTTTCCAGGAACAGCTGGGCTAGCTGACAGCGACGTGAACTGCTGCATCAGGAACAGCCACTGACAGCCACTGACAGCCAGGGAGTGCCAGAAATAAGTCGCAGAAGAGTTTTAATCTTTTTGCTTGTATAGACAATACCCACCACTTACCATCACTTGTTTTCCTCACCCTTTAGTGGTGCCTTTGGAAGCAAGAATCAAACTAAGCTGAGCTTGTGTTCCTGGAGGGGCGTCAGCCAGTGTATCCCTGCCACATCTACAGCTTAATTTCATTTTATCACAAAGCCTGTTATCTGGGCTGCATGGCAACTGCTGAGGCAGAGTGGGAAGGGAGTCGTTTGCAGGGTCCGGGCTGCGTGACCTGATTTTTGTTCACTTTCTTGCTTGGACTCACTGAGTTAAAAGCTTCAGCTCTACTGTTGCTGTACATTGCAGCCAGGGAAGATGCACTTTGCCCTGACACTGAAAGTCACAGTGCCAAATCTGAGATGAAATACTGTCCTGGTTTCGGCTGGAATAGAGTTAATTTTCTTCCTAGTAGCAGGCACGGTGCTGTGGTTTGGATTTAGTATGAGAAGAATGTTGGTAACACGCTGCTGGTTTAGTTGTTGCTGAGTACTGCTTATGCCAGTCAAGGA